TGGAGGGTTGGGGGAGCACTGTTGCAGAGTAGTGTTCGTTTGGGGAGAGGGCCCAGAGGGGGGGAACAAACTAGAGCGTTGGGGGGGGGGAGTGACGCAGGCAAGTGCTGCAGTGAAGTGTGGGAGAGACCGCTGTTGCTGTCACAACGGGTTGCAGGAGCACACGAATGTGTTGCCTCCCTCGGTCATAATTTATATACGACGAATGTGTTGAAATAGCATGTTTCAGATGACGTAGACCACTCATCACTTTCTTCTTCTTCTTCTTCTTCTTCTTCTTCTTTGTCTTTTTTTGTCCTTTTAGACTTGAAAGTTGTAACTGATGTAATGCAATGACTGGATATGCAATGACTATCAAAAAGTGAATTTGTGGGCTGGCATGTTTATAGTGAGTGAGGTGCTGCATCATTCTTTGCTGAGTCCATTTCATTCATGTGGAATTGAACGGTTGGCATAGCTGCATAGCTGCATGCTGCATGCTGCATGGTTCATGTACTTCACAAGTTGCCTGCGGGGTGCTTTATGACCTTTGATTTTTTTTTGGATTTTTTTTTTTGTTTGGGACCCTTGTTGTCCTTCGATTTATGTGTGTCGTCCTTGCGCAGGGGTCATGGTAATAATCTTCATTCTCTGTATCGTTCCAATTCTGACGGATGTCCCGAAGGACACCCTTTGTTTTTGACTTCGTCCCAGAAAGACAGCAAGTTGAAGCCATTGGGCCATTAGAGCAGACTCACACTAGGACCTTCCTGGATGCATCTGGTCGTTCAAGTATGCCAAATTCGCTGTAGAAACTAAATAGAAAGTGCTGGAGTATGTATGCAGTGTGAACAACAACCAAGTATCAAGACAGTTGTCCTTGGGGACATCGGTTAAGATTGGAACGATAAGAAAAAAAAACCAAAAAGATTGGAACGATACAGAGAAGGGCAGGGATGACCTCGCATAAATGGAGAAATGTTTTTTTTTTTTTTTTTTTTTAATGGCGAAATGGTATTTAAAAAAACAAAAGAGGAAAAAAAATGTACCAAGAAAGTTGTAAGGGCGCAGACTGACGCCCTCCAGAATAGAAGGGGCATGAGTGTTTAGAAAAAAAAGAAAAAGAAAAAAAGGAAGGAAGGAAAGAAAGAAAGAACGTTGAAGGCCGCAAGCAGACATCGTCATGCCATTTACGTTCTCCATGTGCTACATGGAATCAATGGCCATCATCATAGAGACCGCTGGATGGAATGCCATAACTAGAACGAACCTGGTCCCCATAAAGGACCAGGTCCCGAGGAAACCACTCGGAGAAAGTCCAAAGAAGAAATAGGGAGTCCTGGATGAAGAGCACCACAGATCCGAGGAAACCACAAGGAGAAGGTGCAAAGAGCACCACAGATCGGCTAGGCTGAAAATGAGGAGAATAGCCTACCAGAGGGGTTGGGGGCAAGTTAAGCCAGGGGGGGGGGGGGGGGGGGGATGAAAAAAGTAATATATCTATATATATATATATATATATTTTACCGGGCAGTTCTATTTG